AAAACAGCATTTGAGCTAATTTTGGAAGAGTGAATAGAGACTTTTCAAATAGAGAAGAAGAAAAGCATTCTAGACAGAGAAATTAGCAAGTACAAAGACTTAGAAGCATGAAAGGGCCTTGTGGTTTTGGGGAATGCCAGACAGTTCAATGAGGCAGGAAAATAGACGACAAAGAGAACAGAAGACCAAGCTAGAGAAATAGGGTGTGGACCAGTTATCTATTGCTGCATAACAAACTATCCAAAAAAGAAAAAATATCCAATGTACTCAGCCCTACTTTGAAATTAATTTATAGCTTTCATATGAAAACTATAACTCAATTATAGCCCAGGAATACGGGGAAAGGGCAGAGGGAGGGGAGGGGAGGGGGGAAGATGGGTGGAGGGAGGGTGATTGGTGGAATCACGCCTATGGTTCATCTTATAAGGGTACATGTGAATCTTTCTAAATGTAGAACATAAATGTCTTAACACAATAACTAAGAAAATGACATGAAGGCTATGTTAACCAGTTGGATGAAAATATTTCAGATTGTATATAGAACCAGCACACTATACCCCATGACTGCATTAATGTACACAGCTATGATTTAATAAAAAAAAAAAAAAACCTATCCAAAAAACTTAGTAACTTAAAGCAACAGTCATTTTATTTTCTCATAATTTGATGTGTTAGCATTTTGGGCTGAGCTCAACTGAGTATTTCCTCTATTGGCCTCACTTGAGGGACTCACATGGGTGCAGTCATCTGGGTATTAGATGGGAGGTAATTTGGGCTTCCCCACATGGCAACGTGATGCACTCAGACTAGGCAGAACCTGTAATATGACAACAGAACTCCTCTGAGGCCTAAGCTTGGAATTCACACATTGTCACTTCTGCCATATTATGTTAGTCATGTGGCCAGGCCTGTTTCAAGGGGTAGAGAAATAGATTCCACTTCTTGACGGGAGAAGCAGCAAAGTCACCTTGCCAAGGGGTTGTGTGTACAGGGAAGGGAATTGATGGAGCTCTCTTTGCAAATGGTCTGCCACAGAGTAGAAGCAGATTGTGAAGACTTATACACAAGGTAGACAGTTTAGAATGTATCCCAAGGGCAACAGGAAGCTGCCAGATGTTTGTTTTTTTGTTTTGTTTTTGATTAAGACACTGAAGTAAAAAAAAAATAAGATTTTCTCCTCAGCATCCCTTATTTAGAACTAGTTCCTCTCCTGCAATCCACATGGTTATTTCAGAAATCACACAGTAATAAGATGATGAGTTGTTTGAATTAGGAATAGGCCAATCAGAATCCCTCTTTTGGATTTTTTTATTTTTTACTGAAAATGAGAGTTAGTTTCTTGCTAAAAACCTGAACCTTGGGAGTGCTAGGTAACTGTGTCTGCAGCTGTATGAAGAAAGCCATTCTGCACACAGAAGCAGAGATGAGAAATAGAGAGCGTCCTGATGGCCTTGAAGCCCACTGTGTCTGACATCGCTCTCTGCCTACGCTTGTTCAAGTTTAGTCTCTCTCTTGCAATCAAAGAAGTCCCCGCTAATAAAAGGAGAGGCTAATACCTGCGAGTGGAGAGTTGCAAGTGACAACCTAAAAATCCAACATCAGCTGAGTTTGAGTATAATGGTTATTAGGAAATTATTTTAACTGATTATTGCTGGCCATTTAAGAAAGTTGTTCTTATGTTTTGTATACAATCTACTCCTTCTGATAGCTTTTTGTCTGAATTTCTTAGCGTTTTCTAGACCAACAATTAGGTTATCAGAAAATAATCCTATTTTGTCTTTTTCTTTTCCTATTATATACATATGTACCAGTGTGTATACATAATAATTTCCTTTTCTTATGTGGTTGGCTGTACCCTCCAGAACAGTGTTATATATAATAACAATAATATTCAGTATGCTTACCCTTTTATAAGAAAGAGTCAAATGTTTTCATTGTGAGTATAATTTTTATAGTTTTTGCCTATGCAAATACTCTTCATCATGTTAAGATCTTTTTTCCTTCTGATCTAAACTTAATTTATATTTTTAAAAATTTTAAATGGCTATCACTTTTTCAAATACTTCTTTAGTATCAAGTTCATATTGCTTTTCTTCTTAATGAATGAATGTCAGTTATATAAAAATATGTATTAAGATTGAATTATTTTTATATTGTACAATAATCCCCACTTGTTTTGATGCAATATTGTCGTACTGCCATTCTGAATTTGACTTGATAATAATAGGCATTCCCTGTTTTGTAAGGTGAACTGGAACTTACATGTGTCAGAGTCATGCCTTCACTTTAAACAGTACCAAGGCTCGGCGCCTATAGCTCAACCAGCTAAGGCACCAGCCACATACATCAAAGCTGGCAGGTTCGAATCCAGCCCAGGCCTGCCGAACAACAATGACAACTACTACCAAAAAATAGCC